AAGATTCTGTTGCTTTGGCCATGGGCTAACATAGACTTTGTCAGCCTCTCGTCTTGACATTCTCGGTACTTCTTCCGCAGTGTAAGCCGCTGTGGAGACATCATCTGCTGAATCGCGTTGTGATCCTCGAACTGAAGGCAAACCAGGAGGTTCAGGAGGTGGTCCTGGACCGTTAGGCCCAAAAGGGTCCGGAGGTCCATCAGGGTCAGGCGGACCGCCCCATCCACTCGGTGGCTTGTAATAGTCCCTCTCAGTTCCGCCAGCGATCTTGTTGTCAACCTCTTTCAGCAGATCAGCGATTCTTTTGCTTGATTGAGAATGCTGTTGTTGTTGAGGAGGTACAGCATGCCCACGATAGGAATGAGCCACATTTGTCTCATAAGTCAACTCCTTGTCGATCTGCGAAACCCAAGATTTCAGAATAGCGTTTTCACAGTTAGCCTCACTCACGTCATTCTCCAGTTTGTCGATGACCAGTCTGGATGCGAGATCGGAGTTGGGAATGCCTGCCGAATAGGGAAGTGTGTCAGGACTGATCCTAGCCATAGATGTTTCAGAATCCTTGAGACTTTTTCTCAGTTCATCTAAGTGACGTTTCATGTCAACAATCTCAGAATTCTTGATGCCAATCTTTTCATCCCTATCCTGGATTTCCCCCATGAACATGCATGATCTCTCATATTGTTGAACACCACTCGCCAATTTCAATTTTCGCTCACTCTCTAGTTCAGATCTTAGAGTTCGGACCTCAGCATTGGTGAGGGACGACGCCCCTACATCCGCAACTTCAGTCAACCTTTCTTTTAACAACAAGTTCTCTTGTAAACATTCATGAACTTCATGATCTAGATCCTGAACCCTGATTTGAGCGATCTTAGCTTGATTACGTAGATCTTCAACAAGCATCTCTTCGGGGCCACGACCGTCGGTCGTAGAACCCTGAGTCAACGATCTTCGTAACTTCGTGTTCTGCAACTTGATCTCATCCTTCAATTCGCAGTTCATCTTCTGCTCGTTGGCATAGAGCTCCTCATAGTGCTCTGCCCTTGCGATCGAGTTTGCACTAGCCTGTGATTCAAGCCTCAGGTGAGATATTGCTTCGGCCTCTTGGTTCCTGTATGATGCGTCTGACGGTATCATGTTCAGTGTTTCGATGCTTCAGATCACTTTCCAATTTGGCCTGATTTGCCTCGAACACCTTCTTCCTAGATTCTCTAGTGATCTCATCAATACTGCTCTCATACAGCTCGGCCTGTTTACGAGACTGAACCAAAGCTTCACTCAATAGCCGATTTCGCTCAGATAATTCATGAACTGCAATTGATTGTTGTTGGCTAATCACTTCAAGTTGATTACTAGAGAAGGATGCCATTTCAGATCGATTACGATATTCCATGATTGAGTTCTGGAAATCATTTTGCATTTCTTGACCCTCATTGTATAGTCGATTGGCAATATCGGTGGTTAAGACATTGGTTTGATGAAGTTGTTGTAGTCTTGCCTCCGTATTACCCAGTAGTCCTTGAAGGTGATGTACTTCATCCTTGTACTCCTCCTGGATCTCCATACCACGTTGATGGATCCGTCGTGCACCATGTTCCATTAGGGCACCTCGGCGTTCAAGGTCTTGGATGCGTATTGTTGCACCTTCGTCTTCTTGAGATGCTACCATTAGTTCTGCTTGATATTCTGCAACCTCATTTGCGGAACATGACAATCTATGATTGAGTGCATTGACCTCATCAAATACATTCTGATTGTGTTCCCGAAGATACTCAGTGAATCTGATCTCGATGTCATGAATCAGTTGATCCCTGGATGCAGCGTATGCTTCCATGTTGTTCAGCTGATTACGTAGGGATTGACATTGTGCCCGTAGTTCCTCTATCATGGCAATAGGTTCACTAGCCACAGAAGTATCCGTTGATCTCCTCTTAACACGACTATCCCCGGTCCTCTCACCAATTCGGTCGGTCACGGCCCTGGTGGATCTGTCCCTTGGAGTAGTACGTCCTCGAGATGGTCGATGCCCTTGGCGGACAACATCACTCCGAGCACTGTTTCGAGAAGATCTAGGTGTACTTTGGGTGGATATTCTTCGTCTGTTTGATGTGACTTGCCATCCGGACTGTGTAGTTCGGGTAGAGCGTATCCCGCCACTGTCTGCCGTGTCGCCAGGGGAAGATTGATTGACCTCCTCGACCGGCATAGCAGCGTTCTCATTGAAGGTAAACTGCGTGGTGCGCGAATCTCCGCTGCCGCCTTGCATCTTTGCGATGATGAGCTGATTGGTCCTTTGCGTCCTCAATCAATTGCTCAGACGGCCCGGCTACCAGCACGCAGGTACCACTCTCCCGGCGGGAGAAGTGAGCCCTACGGCTGATAACCTGTGAACAAATTGATCCTTGTTCTGGATATCCTTCGGTTGTAGTTCCCTATGTGCTGATAGTCAGAGCTGTCAAACCATGCAGCAGCGGAGCGCGTTATTTTGGCCTCGCAGTGGGTCTTGAGCCATAGTGGCGTCCCATGCAAGAATGTGCACATGCTCAGCATGTGTGACTACTGTGTTATCTCGTTCCCCTTCGCAATATATATATTATAACTACAACAACAGGGACTTAACCAAGTTCAATTGGAGAATAATGTGGCACAAACCAACAATAAACCATCCAATTAACATCCCCAAATAGGGGGAAAACCCACTTGGAAATTGTGTTTTTTTTTGGGGGGGGGCTTACCACATTGCTGTAGACTGTAGATCTCAGATGAACATTGACCCTAAGTCCAACAAATAGTGTTTATTATGGAATCATAAATATATTCTAAACCAACTTAATCCAACTTAAGTACCTAGGGGTCCCACATTGTGGAATACTGCTCAGCAGCTCCCAAAAGCACCCAATGTCAAAATAGATTCAATCCAACAAGAAATATTGATTGCCAAAGCAAAAAGAGTGGGGCCGTAACCGCCAAACATGCATCTTTGAGGTATCTCCCATGTTTCGCCAAATCAACATGTGCCATGGGTCAAAACATGGTATATGGGTTATGATTATCCATCCCATATTAGGAATCCTTCTAACAGGTGTGTCCATATAAATATCGCTACTAATCATCATCCGATATGGGTATATCATTCAACTTTTGATCATGAGAATCACTATATACAATTATTAAGAGTTGTTGTCACTTGTCACTATAGTATTATATATACTATAGTATTATATAGCAGTATGATTATATAATTCATATATAAAGATACCATAACTACATCCCAATTTGCTGAAATTCACCATCGCTCCATCCACCATCGCTCCGACCGCCAGAGTTGGCTCGCCCATGGTGCACAGAAACTGGGGCGCCGGAGCAATGGAGTGATTCGAACGGGATGGATTTCCATGGAACTTCCAGAGTTTTTTGGATGTTTACTGGCTCAACTAGATAGGAAAGCACAAAAACATATCGAAACTGTTTGAGTCTTCCTTTAGAAACTGCACAGTTTCTACACCAATTGTAGATTTGTTGGATGCCCTCTGGTATATGGGTAAATCATATCTAAATTTAAGCGATGAGAGTGTGCGAAACGGGATTCCAACAAATAACATCACTGGTTAGTGGTATACCTTACCTACCCCTCTGAAAAATATGAGTTCGTCAGTTGGGATCTGTTTATTCTTAACTGAATGGAAACATCAAATTCATGTTCCAAACCACCAACCAAAATACCATATTTATAGCGCATGGAAATCTACCTATGGTACTACCTATGGTAGGGAGAGGTCCATAGCCGCTTGGAAATGGATAATTTGTGGAGACCAGCGACCATGAACAGCAAGACAACCACCCCAAAACACGGGCAACCGTAAGCTCGGCCTGCTCTTGGTCATATTTCGTTGGATTGATCGTGTGAATTGTCCTTATCATCTTAATAAATCGCTTGTGTCAATCAAGTACCAACCCAACCAATACATGAGCTGTTGCTACGGAGCACATGGCAAATAACACGTACATGAGGCATTTGGATCCTGAGATCTACAATCTCCTGGCCCCTAATTCATTCCCACCAGAGGGAAGCTGCTTGCTGCCCAGCTGCAGCCACACAAAAAACCGAGAGATATAGCACCTGGCTACCCACTGGACTTCCACACGCCTTCTGAGAAGTTCTGAGAATATTAATTTAAACCGCACACACATACTAAAATCGCCTTTGCAAAATCTTTAATTACTGTAAGATACTTGTTGCAAGTCTAACGTACTTCCAAACTGCCAAAAGCAATTTTAAAAAAAACAAAACTAGATTGATCTAGGATACGTTCTATCTTCACTTGGATACTATGTGAATTTGGCCTTGGTGGCTCAAAAGTGACCTGCCCAATTCCATCGAAGTCTGACTTGCCTTTCAGTTGTGGATTCATATATGTTCCATGACATGTCGATGTCCAAAATTGGAATTTCCGACCGAGAAATCCACAAAGTCCTATCTTGGTGCATCCAGATGTCCAAAATCCCCAAGTTTCGGTGCATCAAAGTCTGCAAGACTTGGATTGCAAGACTATGCAAAACTATGCAAGACTAGTCATTATTGTGACCAACAAACATATCATTGCTAGATACCCTCTGGTAAACTAACATAGCTATTGAAAATGATCATTTATAGTGAGTTTTCCCATTGAAAATGGTGATTTTCCATAGTTATGTTAGTTTACCAGAGGGTATCTAGATATATCATTACTAGCTGCCAACCCCCCAACTAACAGAGACCCTGCCATGAGCTGGGGAATGGATGACTAGTTTCCTCTTAAAATGGGCTATTCTCAGGGTCGATGTTAGTTGCAGGGATGGTATCTCCCAGTATATTCCCATGATGTCCCCATAAAATGGACACAAAATGGACACCAAGACACAATCATCACAGAACGTACCACAGATGATGATCAAAATCTTCATGAATCCCAATATTTCTTCGTCTTTTACCTCCATGTCGCCTCATTTTTTGAGAGTTAAATCCCTAATTTCCGGTGAACATCGCCCGTTTTCTCCGTTCCCCAGGCCCCGCGGGGGCTGACCTTGGAGCCCTTCTGGAGCAAGGTCAGGCCCAGCTCCTCGCCCAGCAGCAGCCCACTGCGGACGCCCAGGTTGAAGATGCTGAGACCCAAGACCTGGGTGGGTCCCAGCACATCCCATGTGAAATCACCATGAAATCACCATGTGAATGCTTGGTGAAATCGTGAAATGCCATAAAGCATCATTTTTGATGAGAAATCCCTGCCGTTGTAGCCCTTTAGCCAGTTCCAACTGGCTTATAACGTCATTTAAGTGATACTGTAGGCTTTACCTTACTTGCAAAAGTTATTTCGTCCCATGGCCATAACATGCCGTAGCTCGCTGTAGAGCCAGAACTGTGGGAAACATCTAGAGATACTATACAGCTACATGGCTAATCATACATTTTTTTCGATATCCACCACGTATAAATGGGATCATAAAATACGATGAAATGCATTGAAATGCACTATGTATTTATACATTGTGCAGAGAAATCGGATATGTCCAACTTCGTTCATCTGGCAGGATGATCATGTCTCAAACTTTGCCCTCAAACTCAAAAGCTCATGGCTTACCATCATTCTAGTTTTCCCCAATAAAAACGTGCGATACCTTTGGACATCCCAGATTTTGAGACAAACCCATATATTCTGACTGCTATCTCCCAATTGCCATGCCTTTTGTCCAAACAACATTTTCAGCTACCAAACCCATCGATGCATTGGGGATCTCTTTGGTGATGAAGTCTCCCTTGTGGTTGGTTGATCCCCCACTTGTTGATGGTCAAACATGTTCATCATTTTGCAGGTACCCTCTGGTACTTTCACATAGCCACATAGCTATTGAAAATGGCCATTTATAGTTGATTTACCCATTAAAAATGGTTATATATATATATATATACACCTTCTGGTTATTTAACATAGCCATGGAAAATCACCTTTGTTTATAGGTAAACAATCAACATATTTCAAAATTGTGATTCTCCATAGCAAACTGTTAGTTTACCAGCGGCTAATCATCAATCATCAATCTCCAGGGGCTCCGGAAGTGTTGTGGGAACTAGCTTTTTCCGTTTTGTTTTTTTGTTCCAAAAAACATATACCTCCTTTTCCAGGTACAAGGTGGTGCCCCATAATAACGTTAGCTAAGTTGGTTTATAACTCCAATTTCACTATGGTTTATGGTAGATATATCATGATATATCTATACTTACTATGGTTTATAAACCAACAAACATCACTGGGGGGGCACCACCTTGTATCAAATCATAAACCCATTAACCTGGCCAAAGCCCTCGTTTTTCCAACCGCGAGTCACGAGCAAAATGCCTCCAGCCAGCACCCGATCATCCCAAATGATCGACTCCAGGAGCAGCCTCGACCCATAAGGAGCGCCATCAAAGGACCAGGAAAACCCATGGGAAACCCATGGGAAACCCATGGAAAACCCATGGAAAAACATATTGGAGTTCAAAACAATATGTAGGAGATGTCACTTTGAAGCAAATCTCCGGTGTACAAAAAACCTCTTTTTTTCTCCCACAGGAACATCAGTTTTTTGCAGGATTTTAACTGGGAAGAATCAAGTTGCTGGACTAGAGATGGTTGGGTTGCCACATCATGGGCATTTATGTACAATATCTGTAATTTTGAATCATATGTACATTGTTGCATATACACAATCATATGCATATGTGTATTATATTATATATATGTACACAATATAGGTAATCAACATCTTCGATATGCCGGAGTCATCCCTGCAGTTTGAATTTATGGAACATCCAAAATCCTTGGCAATTAAAGCTGAAAATCTGAGGGACTGGGCCAACAAACATACCGATCCTGATAGCACTTGGGAATTTGAGGTTGATTGTTGGGGTTATGGGTGCTTTACTAAGCAGCTCACTTTCTGGGTCTGACATCCCTCCACTACAGACTGTCAACCTACCCTTCACCAAATCAGTTAAGTTGCCAGCAGTAGGACACGATGAAGAGGAAAAGACAAATGATGGTAGTGCCTATGGCAACAAGAAGGCTTCGTTCCCGCAGAAGCCACGTCCCCTCCCCAAAAGTGTGTATCTGGCTCCATATTCAACCACAAAGCTAGTTAGGATTTCAACTGTTAGTTGTATTATGGTAAGTAATCCTGATTATGAAAAGATCATTAAAGATCAAAGAGGTTGCTAATCCCAATATCTGGCTGTGGAATTGAACAACCATGTGGTTTCCGGCAAGTATGCGTGAGGACCACCCAAACATAGTGGGATAGTTTATGGGACGATTTTCACCGGAAGGCTATACAATGCTGTACGTCAGATATGACTAATCGTCTAATCGGGCCATTGTCTTCTGACCGCGCTGACTGAAATCCATTTTTTGAGATGTCCATTCCAACAAACACAGCACGGAATGGCGTGATTCCTCCAACATTTCTATAGTTCAAAGAATAGCACTTTCATGAACGTGTCCGCTTTGCGGGTCTTTCTGCTTATACTGGATGATACCAGCTTCAATGCAAATCCGATTGTCATACCATGACAAAAAGCATTCACACACATCTAAACATGCCGATGAAAAGAAAAAAACAGGTTTTGGCCGCTTAAGTCACTATCTACCAGTTTCATGTTTCACTCTTTCACAGTCAAGATCCAACAGCAGCCACGTCTCAGCTGAGGAACTGTTCTGGAAGAAGTCTCTGAGAACATCCTGAGCCCGTTGTGATCCACCCCCGAAGCTGGTACTGCAAGGATTCAAGTGAGAAAACGGATGAAAATTGTGGATGTCCAATGGTTCGAGTGTATGTTGTAATTGTAACCTATGAAATGATCCTCCATGATCCTACTATATACAGTCATTACAGAAACCGGATGAGCAGAACAGAAATCCACAATGAGCAGAAGCGGGTCGGCAACACCAAACCCTGGGGAAATCAATCCATTTGAGATGTAAAGCTTGGTCTTGGCTCAAGAGTTAGAGTTCAAGTATGTTTAAATCATCCCACTTCCAATCACTTCCATGTACCCTCCAGTAAACCAACATAACTATGGAAAATCACCATTCAAATAACTAGGTAGGCCGGGTATCCCGGTCATATCCCGGTCAAGTACCGACAGCCCCCTGGGCCCCTGGGAACTCGGCCAAAGGTCAAAGATCTTTTGCGTTTGATACATGTTTGGCTGGTAAAATACTGCTTGGTGGTTTACCATGTGCCCATCTTGAAAAATGATGGAGTTCGTCAATGGGGTTCGGATGACATCCCATCATCATGAAATGGAAAAACATCAATTCATCTTCGAAACCACCAACCAGATAACCAGAATATGCTGGTTTCATCTGAATGTCGACATTGGGAAAACATCCAAACCCATTTTGATCCATGGCCACTGTCTGAGAAGCTACGGCTAACCCTCCAAATTATACCCCAGTCCCACTTCCGAATAGAAGGTACAGTACTTGGATCATCTTGGATCCATAGGGAAAAAAACCAAACCTGCTGAAGTTCCATTTGGCTATGGATCAATACCTATAAGTACCATTTTTAGTGGGATGAACATCCATTTACCAGCTATTCTGGGGTTCACCAGGGGTACAAGGTTTTGACCCATCCCCATTTTTTTTTCAGAAAAAAAACATGGTGAAATCCCTGAGCCAAGGGCCACGTGATCCTTAAAAAATCCAAGGGTCGCCTGAGGTCACCCAGTGCCCCACGTTTGACGTGCGGGACACGCTGAAGCCTGGCCGCTCCCGGTGTTTTTTGTTTGGGGGTTTTCCATAGTAAGAAATTGTTATAGAAATGGAACCATATTATATAAAGATATCTATGTATGGTTTATGTATATATATATATATATTCATATCATGATTAAAATATATTAAAATTATAAAAGTCTGCTATACATACATATACATATATATATATAAATACACATGATTGTGAAATCATATAATAAGATCGGAATTGTTTCGCGACAATCATAGGAATATACTTGGACGATGATTCGATGGAAACCATGCGAGGTTTCCATGGAAACCATGGTGGCACCTTCTGGTGATCAGGAAGGATTTAAGGATCAAGTCACAGTGAATAAGTTTGGAAATTGGAAGGCCGTTGAATGCCAGAAAATCACTGAACATGATATGGAAATGTATAATGATATATATATATTGATTGATTGTGTGTGTGTGTGTTTGTTTTGAGTATTGCAGTTTTTCACCTGGCAATAGACAATCCACATCTAAAAGTTTCCATTCAAATCATGGATTGTCCAGTCATAATCATCGAACTCCAAAACATTCCGTTTCCGGTGCATTCAACTCATCCCATAAATCAAACATAAGCATCAAATATGATCGATCATCGGGGGCTGAACCGGAGCTTAAGTGGTTGGTGCATGTTGCTGGTTGAATCCCCTTTAGAACATACCCTCTGGTAAACTAACATAACTATGAAAAAATCACCATTTTCAATGGGAAAATCCACTATAAATGGTCATTTTCAATAGCTATGTTAAATTACCAGAGGGTATATGACTCTTGATGACTCTTGAACTTTTCCCAGGGTTCGCGAAGCAAGGACGTGGCTCACATGTCGCGTTGCCGGGCCTGAGGCCCATGTGACCCACGTGGACGACGTCATCTCTGACGGAGCACGCCATGGGCAAAGGGTGGCTGCAGATGACTGCAGGGGATTCACATGAAGCCTGAGGTTATCCCACATTTCTGGCATTCTGGCAGAATTTCAGTGACTTTCTTCACAAAACTTGGCAGGATGATTTCCGTTGCCTTAAAGGAATGATGGGCATGAGACAGGATGGTGTCTTTGAATTGAAAGATATTGAAAGGCTGGGCTGCTTGTAGGGGTAGAAGTAGTAAAACGGGGGCTAGTTGACTCATGCTGTACCCCATACTACACCCATACTCCAAGTCCTTAATGTCTGATGGAGCTGCGATGGCGCGACGGACGTCCCAGAAGCAGTTGGGAGTCCAAAGATGTTGATATGAGCAAATGACGGACATGTATAACTCATAACCATAGTTATGGGACTTATAGGCGTTAAACTCCCAACTCATGTGGGCTACTACCTATATATGGACATCCCCGTTCACAACCCCCATTAAAAAAAAGAAAAAGATTGGGGGTTTCCTCTTTTTGGACAAACCCGTTGAAGTCAGTTTCACCGCCATTTCAAAGGCTAGCCATTCATACCCTACTTGGATGTGCGGGACCCAGATATTTAGTGGGTAATGACTGCAGTAACCACCACACAAAATGACCTAGTGATGGGTTTTGATCACCACTTACGATGCCCGGGATGCACCACACATGATCTGCTCTTGTTCGCAGTTGGAAGATGTTTGAAGCAGGACAAACATTATCAAACATTTGAACGGTCTTCCTGACTTGTGATCCTCAGAGTCTCCGGGAGATCGGGCCACAGCAGCATGTCTTTTCTGGCGGCTTTCGAAGATTACGACTTTACCACTGGCGAACGTCAAAAAACTTTGGCCAAGCGGTGAAGCCTTCACTCAGTAGAAAGTTCAACTAAGCTTTTGAAAGGTAGGGAATCTCCTTTGGAATCGACCAATTTCAATGGGGTTCTCGACACAATCAACACATTGATGGTCTCAGAGGTTTCGATTTCACCCTTGCGCACTCTCACTGGTCGCTTAAGCTCATGACAAGCCTTGGTTGTTCGAAATCATCAGTTCCTCCCCAGGTTTTCTGGTGACATTATGTAACATTCAGATCCGTAAAGCTGACCAAATGGGATGTACGCATGAAAAAAAATATTGGCTACCCGCCAAATGGATGTATATAAAAAAAACAATGGAAAATCCCAATCTAAAATGGATAATTCATGGATGGCTAATGGAACATCCTAATCTAAAATGGATGATAACTCAGGTACCCCCATGGAAACCTCTATATTGATGAGACTGTGCCCACCAGATCGGACCACAGGGTCAGCTGTACCAGAAGTGTCACAAAGAAAAGGGGGTTGACCTTGAGCAATGTGCTAAACTAGGCTAAACTATGCTAAACTATACAGTTGTTTGATTCATGTCTTTGCTTTTAGTTATTTCATGTTGTTGCCTTCTAGATTCTAGACTCTAGACTCTAGACTCTAGGGTGGGTCTCTTGACCGGTTCTCACCTTACTTCCCAACCATGAAGGAGTAAAGGTTGATTTAGATCTCAAAATAGGCAAGGGAATTCCTAACCATAAACATGTTGAAAAAATATTGTACAGTAAGGGACAGCAATCTCGAGGCAGAGCTGGTAAGGGGTACACCATGAATCGTTGCTCACTTCATCCCGCATGTTGCCCCAAGGACTTTCAAGATATGAACAAATGGGGCCAAAGATATGCAATGCCAACCCAGGACTACATTACAGACATTACTCTATTATATATATAATTATATATATATAATTATACCCTATGGATCCAAACACTGTCTGAGAAGGTACGGCTAACCCTCCAAATTATACCCCAGTCCCACTTCCGAATAGAATGTACGGCTGGATCCATAGGGTATATAATTATATATAATTATATATATTGCATATAAACCGGGAGTGATTATTTGGGATTTTGCTTAAAATGATGATTTCTCTTGATCTCTTTTTTATGGCATCCCAACCTCGTGAGCTCGCCGACGGAGGGGTATTCGAAGATCAAGGAAGCCTTGGGACAAACATCGTGGGGATGTGTCTGATTGTACGCTCAGCCCACAAAAATGGATGATTTATATAATCCCATAGGATCCATGTATGCTATATATGCTAACATTGGGGGTATATTGATGGTAAATGTTACCGTATATAGCATACATGGATCCTATGGGATATAATGTTATGACAAAACATGACAGAAGATGACAAATGGCAAACATCATTATTTCAGGATTTCCAGGTTCTGATGTCCTCTGGAAAGTCATAAGTTTAATGCAGCAAAAACTCCACTAAAGACTGTATCGATCAACATGTTTGGGGTCGGTCGGTCAACACCCAGATCGATGTACCTTTTTTGGGGGATTCACTACTAGTTGATCAGCATTCAACATCCTTTGATCCAAATGTGAGGGTTACGAAGTCCCAACTTGGCGGTTCCCCCAACCAAAATACGAAGTTAAAACAAAGACCACCTCGTTTTACCCATGGATCGTGTATCTGTAGCCATGGCTCCAATTTCTCCCCCAAAAATGGATGGTGAAATGCAAGACATGACCAATTGTCTGCGCCCGTATGGATGTCTTTTTCGGGGGACTTCAAGTTACAAGTGGGAGACGAACCAATGGATCTAGGGCCATCCATTGATCTCAGCAATGTCTGGTAGTTTGAGGGATGGGGCCTTGGGTTTACCATCGCATACAGTACCCCGGATCCGATCCATTGGTTCAACCACGATTTGGGATATGGAGAGCTTAGCCAATGTTAGGCGCTGCTGGAAGTGGATCTATCAGGCTACATGGTAAATCTTTGGTAGTCCACAACATATTGTCACCATTTGACATCTTTTGCTGGTTATGGTAATGTTCCATTGCAAAAAAAAACTATATCAAGGATTTAGAAACTCTAACCATCCAATTGGGGATGCTAGCCATACATTACTCATCAATAGCCATACATTACCCATACATGTCATTCCCCATCAATAGTCATCAATATCCAGTTGGTTCGGGATGCTAGTGACATTCCCCATCCCATTACCCATCAATATACCCTCTGGTAAACTCACAGTTTGCTATAGAAAATCAGCATGTTTACTATGGAGATCGACTATAAATGACAATGTTCAATAGCTATGTTCGATTACCAGAGGGAAATACTACCATAGCTATGTCAACCCCCCATACCATGGGTTGACATTATCCATAGATTACCCATACATAACCCATAGATTGTCCATAGATTATCCACACATAACCCATAATGCGGTTAAAACAATAATAAACTACCGCATTTGGGAATGGTAAGCATACCACCTATAAAAATGGTGATGACTGGTGGTTTATGAAATTGTTTTAACCACATTATACATGTTTATACCTATAGCCTATACTCATTTCATGGGCTTTATATGGCTTCATAGACCTAGCCTATACTCATTTCACAGGCTTTGTATGGATTTCTATGGCTATAGGCTATATACCTAGCCTATACTCCCTGGTAATTCAATATAGCTCATTAAAGCCATTTACAGTCCATTTGCCCATCACCCATCCCCCATCCCCCGCCATCATCTTCCGCGGCGCTGGAAGCTCCATTCCAAACTTGCTCTGCAGGTCGTTGCGGAACGCCACCGAGGTCAAGCTGTCCTGGTGGGGAAACCCCCATCGAAACAACAAAGGCGGGTTAAGTTGAACACCAAAGGAGGGTAAACCTATGGCTTTTCCATGGGATTTCCCTAGGACATAAGATTAATTAAACAATATGAACATATATGAACATACATATATATATATATGAAAGTATAGTGAACAATGCTGGATTTGCGTTAGCCATGATAGTTTATTGGAGGGTAGAGCATGTGAATACCTGACAATACAGATGTTGTGAGACTGGAAGATTAAAATTACTCTAATCAAAATTGAAACCATGAGCTCATGAAATGAACAGAAATGATGACACAAAGACAAGTTGCAATTATGTGCGTGTTTAAATGACTGGTTGAGCGGTGGTTGCTTCAACCCACTCCCAAATGCACTTGGGATAAGCATCCCAAATAACATGGCTTGAATTAACATGGGACCACAAGTATCCACTATTGTGGATACAGCATGGCTTAAATCGGTTTAAAATGACCCAACAAAAACGCAGACTTCGGTTGGGTACCCCTTTTCACCACTGGTTTCCCACCCCCAAAAATGACAAAGTTTGGATGATTTTGGGGGTCCCCATGTCAAGAAACCGCGTTTCACAATTAGTCATAGTCCGAATCGTATTCCAATCTTCTCATCGGAGTCCCTTTATATATTTCCAAGCTGGGTCAGCAACTCCAATTACGTACTGGTGCTAAACGTAGGGAATGGATGGGAATGATCCGTAACTATGAATAATCCCAGCAACCCCAATTCCAATCCATTCCCTACGTTTAGCACCAGTAAGATGATCGGAGCCGAGCAGCCATGCCAAGATCCATCAAGACACTGTCATCTTGTAGCGGCGCCTGCCGGGCTGGATGGGATGTTGGTGGGTTATAACCACCAGCCTGCCATATGATGAAGTCGAGTTGCCTAAGGCAACCATGGGAAATCTCCCAACTGGAGATGTTTAAACATATGAGGATGTTATGGGGGCACCACCTGCTGGTGGATGAATTCCATCCCCACGAAACAGCCTTCCAAGGCCGACTCTGAAAACTATTTAACACATTTTAAAACTATGAAAGTCACTGGTGATCATCATCCAAGTATATAGCGGGAAGATAAGAGATAGTTTGCAAAGTGATCAGTAGGACACAAGAATCTACTTAAATTCACTTTGGATATTGGTTCCATTTGGTTCCGCTCTGCTACTCATCATCGGTGAGTTGCAGGTTCCTAAAATAATTTGCCTACCCCCAGGGATTGTGGGACCAACTGCCACCGAAAGATCCACTAAGGTCCCCTCCGGCAACACGGGATTTCGTGGAAATCCCGGAACGATTTATGGGGGATGGGAAGTGGAGTGATAATCCTGAACAAAAACCCAGAAA